GGAGGAAAACATGCAAGCAGTGAGCAATTTGTTGATGTGAGGGAACAATGTGTTCTTAGTAGTACTCACATCTTGTTAGTCCCTCAAGCAGGAACTGTTTTCTTCTTTGTGGTTTTTTGATCACACCCTCACAATTAAGTATGAATTTAATGGTGTGAATAGCTGCAGTTGAAAGTCATTACATTTGAGTATAAAACAACTGTTATTAATTCCACAAGATGTCAAAATCAGTCAACCATTTGGACTTTTTTTTAGATCCTGATAACATTTTTACAGTAGAACAGCGAAGCAGAATAACTTGGATGCACATAAAACATTTATGATCCCTGTGAGGAAACTGGTGCAGCTATTTTACTGGACCTCCAGCCTCAGAACGTCATTCTTAGGGGTAAATATGCAAATTTCAAATAGGAAGTGGGAGATGTGCTTGAATGTACATGCGACTTTCTCTTCAACAGCAAGGTTGCTCAGCTGCCACACTGGAGGTAGAGTATCTGACAAGCCACGGCTAATATTTTACTAGCATATTCCCTGTGGCTGGTTGTGTCCTGTTATAGCAGGATGTGGTGACTGACTTTAAGTCGGCCTGATCTTCCCAGACTCAATTCCCTGGATGGACCCAGACTTGCCAGTCAATGATTAACACTGAAATAGATCTGGCAGACCAACTTTACTCTAAAGCAACCTTTCAGTAAATTCAGTCATATAGCTGGAGATTTTTTAGTTTCTTTTAATCACGGAATATGAGCTTTATGTTTAGGGCTTTCAGGGGCCCCCGTGGCAGCTGTATTCGAGGTACCACTCAGAACACTGCCTATGATTATGCTACCATCAGACTTGACTGTCTCAAATTAATGAAGAAGACCTGTTTTCCAGATCTGCTGTTTATAAAGAAAAAGTGACAAAAAATGATTTGGGATTTATTTCACTAATAACCCATCTGATTGAATTTGTTTAGAAAATGACGTATCCGACTTGTAGGCAAGTAGTGTCAGCTCCACACAGACATGAACATCTTTGCTCAGTGAGGCTGCTGGCTGGTTACTGGCTAAATCGCCAATAAACACATTATTTAAATTGGAATGAATTGTTTGTAGATCTAAATATTTGCTAACATTTTCAAAGTCCTCTAAATCTTAGAGATGTTGAATATTATCTCAGCAAGTTGCAATGCAGCATTGTGAAACTACAGTATACTCTTTGCTACTTAAATTCATATAAAATCATATTTGGTATCAGTAGTATAAGTTGCACAAACCAGACACTAATGACGTGCTATAATGAAAACCACATATTTGTTTTTAGAGCACAGTGTATTTAAACCAAAGAGTGAGGCATCGGTCAACCAATGAGACAACACATGAGCATGTGGTCAATGGTCCTGTACAAAGTTGTGATCACTTTGAAGGAGAATATATCCAAAGACTGCTGTTAGAAAAACATCACATTCACCACCATCCCTTCCACTGAAGCACGTATAGCTCTTCAGATGATGTAAGTGCCTTGGTGGTTAAATTAACAAAAAAAATCGAGCTTTGATGCAAATACTGAGTGTTTTGTTACTGGCAAAGAGCAGAAAGAAATCAATTGTGCCACATGGTCAAGGTGACCAGTACAGTCACTAGTAAACAGCAGCCTTTCTTGTCATTTTTAGCTGATAAATGACATGAGAAGCTAACAATTCTTTGCTAATCAGGACCATTCTCATTTCCAAAAATGAGGTGCAAAGGTTCAAATTTTCATTGATTCCATGTGCAATAAGCAAATGCAATTCAAATATACCATAAACTGCTTCTGAAAAACAGGAAGAAAAAAAGAATGTGTTTTAATGAGAAAAAGACAGAAAAGGGAGAGAAATTACAGCAAGCATGTGTACTGTATGTATGAATAGAGTAAGCGAGGGAGGTAGAGACTGTATGACAGAGAGAAGGGGGAGCAGTCACATGTTAGGAAGGGGAGGAGGTGGGGGGGACTGTCTGTCACTGTCTACGTCATCATGGGAACGCCTCCCTCCCTTCCTCCCTCCCTCCACTACAACTCACATGACTGCAGCAGCCCTGTTCTGTAACGCCAGTCACGAGGATAGAGTAGTATTACAATAACCGGCCGGCAGGGTAGAGCGGCATAGACACACACTGAAACAGAGACAGAGAGCGAGAGAGGGACCAAAAGAAAGCCACCAGCCTGCCCTAATAACCCTGAGTAAATATTAACATGTTAACACAGCATTGGTAGAATAGATAATCTTATCAGACTACACATGAAGAAAAAACTTCAGCAGTGATAAAATGTACAATTAGATTGTTTTCCGGTCCCTTTCCTGATCTTTCTCCCTCTGTATCACTCAAGGACTTTGGAGCTATCCAGCACGACAAGTCTGAGAAGAAAGAGCTGCAAAGATTTTACAGCAAAGATACTAGCATGCATGCTACTAAAAGCATGCATATGTTTTGTATTTAATGTTTGCATTTAAGTAGCACTGTCTGACAGTATCATACATTCTATATAATCTATCTCTTTGCTGAAGCTGTATGATGTTTACGCTCAGTGAAACATTCAAACCTGAGATTTTTATGGCAACGCCATGTCATCAAATTGAGATATTCTAGACGTCTTATTATTTCCCTTTAACATCACGTTTCCCCAGAATTCAGCCTGACATATTTGGTATCTTTGGAAACGTTGGGATCTTCTCCACTAGGTTTGAACAATGTTTGGCTGCACAGTGTGAGTTAGTAATAGCATTTAAGGCATATAGACATTGATTGAGAACAGACACATTGTAGGATCTTTGCGATTATCATATAAATATTACCATTGGGTATATTGTATTGTGGTGACTCCATGAGACATACCAATTTTAAAAGTATGATAAAGCCATTGTATAAACTCACAATAACTGTATCTGTTGAGTCCTACATGTATATAATAGGCATGTTATAGTTGAGCGATAGGACATAACATATCGATGTAGAATGTCAGTATCTAATTATATTGAACTGGATGTTACTAACATTTGTTGGCATAGTGTTAGCTCCTATATTAAGGAATGTTTGGTGTATTTCTTCTCCTTTACATCTTAGATATGTAGGCCTATGTGTTCTGTGGAAGCACCTCATTGCTGCACCTTATCAATAGCCCACAGTCTCCTTTGATCCCACCACACACTGAAGTGACCTGCTTCAGTGCCAATCAGGTGTGACAGACACCCCCTCCACGCACACAAACAAAAACACATCACCCACCCCCATGGCACCCTGGATGATCTTCAATCAATAACAATTGCCAGCAATAACAATCATAACGACGCAACTACGTCACATTGTGATGCGGTAAACACCGCGGGCCCTGAATTCCTATGAGAGTCCCTGTTATGGGTTTAGTTGCATGGTAATGATCCATGCGCATTTCCGAAGCAAGACTCTACAGCCAGGAGGGAGATCGAGATTAGATCTGATAGGTTCCGTTCTGCTGTGTGAGAATCTGAATTTTTACACCAAAGCCAATTAGGAAATATGCAAATGTATTGTTTCCTTCCATTAAAGCAAGACGACACATGTTATATGATACAGCCTATGAGCTACTGCTAAAAATTATTTCTCCTAGAAAATTCGGCATGCATTTTATGTGCAAAGCATCACTTCTTTTGGATGAAATCTCAACTTCTGTGAACCGCCACTCTCTACCGCCCTGCGCGGGTGCTTGTGCAGGAGATTATTCTGGGATTACCAGGACAGCCAGTTATACAAGTTCACATATTGTTTTACTAAATGCTGCTTGGTGTGTTGACCGAATACCGAATTCAATGCTACCCCTTAGCCTAATTAGAAGTAGACTATATTCACGTTCATGTTGTCACATGTTCATATTCATCATTGCTAAGAAGCAATGAATTACACAAGATTTTCTAACGTAATTTGGCGGCTTGACATTCCTTGAAATTTAATGAAAAACCACTTCCCACACCGTGGATTAATAAACGGTGTTTCATCATCACTCATTCAGAAACACTACCCAGTTTGCCAAAGCATACAACCACGTGAACCAGACAGACGTTTTGTAACCGTCGTCTAACGATTACGCAAACGATTATGAAAACGTAAAAATCGCACCAACTTTCTCAGCTGACTAAAACCCACTGTCTCCTCTTCATCTCATTGCTTTGCATAATGTGGTCAGATAAATTGACCAATCTGAAGAAATGACAGGAATCATAGGTGGGAGTTGCTCAACTTTGAAGCGCTGAAACAGCCTGCGGATGGACAGAGATCCCCAGTTAAGCTCACGGTGCTGTGGCAAGCAGCTTATACGTTAGTGGAGTGGGTAAATAACATTAGACATCACTGATGTACTGTAGTGTTTCCACAGACAGACACTTTATTAAACAACCGTTTCGATTATGCGAGAAAAATAAATAAAGCATAATATCCAACTAGCCGAGTAACGCATCAACGAAAGACACGCAAGAATGCCTTTTCTCTGCACAATTTTATAGCCAGTCAGTCTTGTAGCCAGTGGATTAATACCATAATGTCATACTATCATAATAGTCTTCAGGCTAAGTCCATGCGTTCAGAGGCGCACCACGTGTCCAAGTCTCCGGCACTGCAATTAAAACTTCCCTCAAGAATGCGTCAAAAGTTTCCAAGGCGCCCCTCTGCATACCAAATAATCCTCCCCAAGCAGACATACACCGGCTGCGCTCCGCTTCAAGCACCAACACAAAAATATATTCGTTAAATCCGTCACCATGGCTGATGACATATCCTCCGAAAAACACGTGAAAGCCAGACGTCAAGACATAGTAGACATTCACACATACACGCACGCACACAGACCGTGATACCGGTTCGCGCTGTACCAGCGAGATGCTGCTGACAAGCCGGGCGAAAGCCTCGCATCAACCGGGCAAAGCGTGAGCCACGGCCGGCGACGTGCAAAGATGCACCCCGGCCTAGAAAGCCCAATGTCCCATGTGTCCAAAGACGCCAAGATCTTACCTGGCTTCCGGAGTTTTCTGTCAGGTAATTGAAGACAAAGGACGAGAGTTCCTCATCTAATAGTGGAGCGCAGTCCGCCATCTTCTAGTGAATGAAGAGCCGTGGAGTCAGAAAGCGGAGTATAGGTGGAGGAGGAGCAGTGGGGAAGGCAGCCTGCAGGGGGCGCATCTGTTGAAACCGCACAGAAACAAACCAAGACATGCGGCTCTCCAAAGTGGGGTCTGGGAACCTCCAGGGGTCAATGCAGTGGCTCCACTTGGTCCCACAATAAAATGAGGATGGGTTTATTTCTTTCTGATTGGATTAAAAGAAAATTATTGCCAAAAGAGAATTTGCAAAAACAAATGATTTTAAAGTTTAACAAAAAATTACTTGAAATTATAAGTGTTAATGTCAAATATGAAGGTATTCAGTATTAGCATACTAGTATAGATAGATAGATAGATAGATTGATAGATTGATAGATTTTTGGAAAGGAATCCACAACAAACATGGTTACTACTACTTATTTATAGATTAGTAATTTCTCCACATCAGTAGCCTATAATACAGATTCAGTGGTAATAAAACTCCATGTGCAGCACCTAAGATCAAGAGTTCAACATTTTTTACATTTATCAAAGCCAGAAAAAGCAAGCAAGCAAGCTAGCACAAAAAAAACTGGTTGTCCAGTTGGACGCTGAGTAACTTCAGTCGTTATCTCAAACACAAAATACAAAGGGCCTGATCACTCAGGACACACTTTGTATTCTTGAAAATCCCTGATGAACCACTCTGCCTTTGTTTTGAGAAGCCAGCAGACATAAGCGTTAGCATCACCCCGTTGCTGTTGCCGGGCAACTGCAAAACCAACTTCTGTCAGTCATGTAGCTAGCATCGTTGATGACATTAGCTGATGCTGCTGTAACACTGTAACCAAAGAAAAAGCTGCAGTCGCAACACTGGTGCAGTTTATTTACTTTTTTCTTTTGGTGCTTCAGTTGGTGTCAAAGGCCGGACATTAACAGCCACTTTTCCAGTTATATTTTAAAAAGTCAGCGATATGCAGTGTTTTTGCTGATCTTTTTTCACTAAGAAGCAGATATACTTTTGAAATTCAATGTTTTCACTCTGTTGTTGTTGTTAACTTTACACACAGAGCCGAAATCTAAGGGAACTAAGGAAATTTCACTAAATAAGGGGCAGATAAACGCTATTTGCTACAAACTCACTGTATGTGCAAGCAGTTGCCGCATGTTGTTTGTAGCTGCCGGTTTGGGATGTGTGTGTGTGTGTGTGTGTGTGACTTTGGGTATAAAAGTAAACCTTTAAGTGTGTTTGATTAGTTTCACATCAGTGAATTATGCAGTTTGCATAAAGACAAATACATTAGGGATGATGTGATCCCAGTGAGTTACAGTGAATGAGCAGGCAGTCAGCTTTGTGTCAACATCAAAACATGTCATGAATCAGGATAGCACACTTCACATCTGAATGTGATTTTACACTAGTTTGGTATTTTATTCAATGTGAAATTATTACAATAACCTATTCTTAAAAAAAATCTCAGAATACCATGTGCGTGATGTTACATCATGCACCAGAATTATTACATGATGGAATCTAAACTTTCAGTGTAATGTCAGATTTTATGACATTTTTATGGCACTCTGTGCTATGAGTTTCCACAATTGCAGCTATTGCCACAAGCAGATAATATAGACCAGAGGGGGGAATAAAACGTTAGGACACACACACTAACAGCGATGATTGCAATATTATCTCACATGGCTTCATGCTCTGTAAATGTGTGTGTGCGTGCGTGCGTGTGTGTTGGTCATCTGAGGCAGATGATGGCCATATACAGAGCTCTGGGTGTCTTTCAAAAAGCCTGCCTGACAACACTGACATTAATACAATGAGTGTAACTAGACAGGACAAGTTAAAACATTTTCTGTGGTCCACATGTCTTCTCATTACAACTTGGGTCATCATCATTTATTTGTAACAATTACATTGTCGCTGGAAAGACAAAAACAAGCTGATCAGACTCTTTTTTAAACATAGCCACCCAGGTTAGCCAAATTAGTTTGGAGGAAAAAGTGAAACAGTTTCCTGAACTGTCTGTTGGAAACACCCAACACAGTCTAATGACCGCGTCTCAGCAAATATTATCATAACCGATAAAAATCAGGGTTGAAACTATAAATATAAGACCCAAATTGTAAAAAACAGGAATTATCTTTTATGGTTGAGGTAAAGAGGGTATGTAGCTATGGAAAACATTTTGCAAAAAAGTCATCGCAAGTACAAGACGTTTTTATTTATGTGTTAAAAGAGAGGATGTGTTTAACAGAGAAAAAAGTCAAATGTTTGTGCATTCTTAGATATTACTATGTGTGTCATTTGAAGATACTATAACACACAGAGTGGAGACCGTCGATGGTGAGACTGCAGGTATTAAAGATATACGTTTTCAGTCACCAGCAGCTTTAAATCAAAAACATTGTGGATCTCTATTTGTTTCTACTTGTCACGGTGTTGCAATCAAAAGGTATGTAAAATAAGTGCTCATTAAACCACATGTACAGTCAAGCTTGTTCGTCAAATATCATAAACCACACCTAGATCTCCTTATCAAATATAAATATGCAATGCCAGGAAATATTCCTCCTTTAAACTCTTAAAAACTGTTGTAAAATATGCCATTGGATATGTACTTTGTATTTCTTGCTCAATTTACTGTAGTTGTGCGGTGTTTGGTCACTGAATGAAGAAGTGAGAGGAGACAAATGTGATTCCATATCCAGACATTTCCAGTAGCTTAAAGTTTGAATGCAGAACATGTTTTGGTCAAAACATTAGGGGCAAACAGCTGGTTTTGTTTTGAGTAAATGACCAATCGTGGCTCTTGCGCAACCACAGGACTTTTAACCAACCTCAATTTTCACTTATTTCCCAATCATTACACAATGTGACTTTGCTCTTCTGCTTTCAGAATAGTTTATTGTCTTGTGTTGAAATGCTAGGGTTTAGCATAAATAATTTGCCATTTGCCATTTTTTGGGACCATTTTGACCGTTTGTATTAGTATGTCGCTTACAAGTCTACCAACTTGATGGGAGTGCAACATTAAATAAATTCAATTTGCTAACCTGCCATATTGCATGTTGTCTGATCGGCAGTGGCCTCAGAAGTAGAAGCCAACATTACTGTAATGCCGTCAAACTGTTCCAAGTTCCAGTGATGACCTCTTCTTATGTTACTACTTTTCTATTTACATTTTAGGCCTTGAGCCATCTCTGCGGTCCAGAAAGACTGCCAGGGAGGTCAACAGCAGAATAACCTCTAAATCATCAGAATCATAGGAAACTACACAGTAGGTTAAAGGTCAGAGGTGAGACTTGATGAATGGAACTAAATATTCCTGTTGAGATTTTGGATCAGTGAGAAGAGATAAAGAAAGACTGGAGAAAGGTTTTTGAATGCAGAAAAGCCAAACAGAACAAGAGTTTGCTTTTATAATATAAGCTCTGAACAAAGTTGTCTTTTAAAATAACTAACTCTTCAGGGAAACATCTCCTGACCACAAACAACTGCATTGTTGTGCATTTTTTATATTTAGTTACCTCTGTGTGCAAACATGCAAAAGTAAAAGAGAATGGCAAGAAACACAAAATGTGCCGGAGAGACAAGGAAATGCTGTGGGGGCTTACAAAACAAATGTCTCAACCCAAAAGAAAACTCCACTCAAGATGACAAACAGGCTATAAGCTGCAGAAACGCAGGCAGTGTTAGTGGCTCAGTATATCACACTGAGCTGCAGCAGATCACCACCAAAACACTAAAAGCAATCCAGGTGTCTTAACTGTAAGCTGAGATGATGTGTGTTTTAGCAGCATCCAGACCATCCAAGTTGACATTTCAATAATGTTTAGTTCTCAGGAAGCATTCACCCATACAAAAACAAGGCTGCAATCTAAGGTCAGATTGTTACTAAGCAGGGCTGGTATGTGTCAGGTGGTCATTCAAGTAATATTCCAGGTTATGTCCTCAGCCCCTCTGTGCTTTGATTTCTGCTTATCAAAAAATAACTGTTCTGTTCACAGTGAGCTTCTGAACTCGTCTGAACGGTCAGGTTGACCTCAGATGACTTAAGGGATAATTGAACATTCCAGTGTCGCACTTTCACGGTCATGGTGAATAAGCAAAAAAACCAAACAAGCTTAGCTTCTTTGGGTGAAATATTTGTAATGAATGTAAACAGTTTAGCACCAGGAAGTTTTTGTGCTTTTCGTTAGATGCATTGATTTTCACAATGTGTATTGTCGTGTACTACAATTTTCATAGAACAGTTTCTTAAAGGATCAACAATTGCTGAGTTTTTCTATTTTAAGACTGAGTATTAAATTGTATCTCATGTGAAAAAACATTTTCCAACAAAAAATACAACAATATGAAAAAGGACAGAGAGAATAGTCATTAAGATGGACACTGGCATAGCACAGAGTTGTCACACATGAAATTACCACACTTTTAAAGTGCCTTTGTTGGTTGAAAATTGCTTTTGAACTTTTGCATTTTGTTCACAGTGGAGAGGCTGACTACTGTCAAAACCTTCCTGCTGCAACACATCAATACAGATAAATTACTACGAAACCATGCAAACTGTTATATAAGTTACACCTACTGTATGTTAACGAATCTCAGGATTTCCAGATTAAACAGTTAGTCAGTCAGTGGCTGAGAGGAATCCAGTCATTTAAGATGGATGTTTCAAATATAACCAGCCAGGGCTAGGGAACACATTGGTACATACTTATCCAGACATGCAGCGACTGCATGTTTAAGGTGCTCGATGGAGTATTCTTGTAAACAAGATTTCTTTTAAAATTCAGTGCTCGCCAAAATGCATGCATGAGATCTAACTAAAGCATTGAATGCACTTTCTTCTTCATAAAACCTTTGCAAAAAGTTTCAATATATACCATCATGCACTGTTTGCGTCCATGTTTTTTTTGCTAGCAATCCTCCTTTTCCTTGCTTTTGTTGCACAATACAAGTAAAACGGGGAAGCACTTGGTATACATTGCTCCATAGCGCTACTTGGTTTTTACTTGTGTAAAAAACTCCACAGGGTA